CAATCATAACCGGCTGATTTGATTGCGGTTGATTACTCCCTTGATTACTCCCTTGATTATTCCCTTGATTACTCCCTTGATTACTCGCTTGATTATTCCCTTGATTATTCCATTAATTACTCCCTTGATTACTCCCTTGATTACGCCTTGATTCCCTTCGAACCGGTTCCTGCTTCCTGTTGTCCGCCAATGGAGTTTGAATTCTTGATCGACGTTGACGTTGCACCACCATCCAAGGACCTAATCCATTTTTCTGAAACTCAGCCTCATCTTTTTTCCCGTCTTGATTTTGCTGATTATCCTTTCCTTCAACTGGTATCTCAGGACAACAATCTTTACTATGTCCATAGCGCCCACAATGGAAACAAATAAGGCCTAAGCCTTCATATTCTATCTGTTTAGTTGCTCCGTCCAACACATATTCACCCTTCAAAGGCTGAGCAAGATCTAGTTCCACGCAAATTCGAGCAAACTGTCCTCGTACATGCTCATTAGTTGTCTTATCGATCTTCAACATTTTACCTAGCCAGTTACCAATACGGCGGAAAAAGGCTTCATCATAATACTCCAGTGGGATACCCGGTAATCGCACCCAAGCTGCAATCTTCATCACACTTGCAGCATTTGGTCTAAAAGCTGGCTCCCAACGTCGGAGTGATAAATAATGGCCTAAAATAATCCAAGGACCACCATTTAGAGCAAAAAGAAGATCATCTTTGTTGCTAAATTGCACCACATAGAATCCATTACCTACATCTGTAACGTTAATCTTTCCAGCTCTAGCCCATAGTATTTCAATCTTCTTTTTCATGAAAGCCACTCCTGTATTCCTTCCAAGTAGTTTTACAATGAGAGCTTTTTCCCAAACCTTCAGCATTCTTGTTCTTGCTTTTCTAGTACAACCAAAATGAGTTCTACCATCTTCCTCTGTCCACATTTTAATCCCACCATAATTCACATCCTCTTCCTCTGCAGGTGCACTTTGATCAACATTTTCTTCCAAATTCCAATCCATTCCTTCCCAGTCATCTGTTTCACCATTGTGTTGCATGAGCATCTCTCGCCAAGTCATCTTTTTATTACCGCCGTCAACCATCCAAGATTCATGTCCAGGAACCCTAGACTGTGATTCAGTAAACACCCTATCTCCATCTTTATTTCTCTTATTACTCCTTCGTAGTAGATCTTCTTCTTCTTTTGAAGATTGACCTTCAGTAGCTATATTTTCCTCCATGAAAAGGAAAACCCTAGCAGAGCGTTTTCAACTTCGTGAGTTTATTTTCGTTGACTAATGGAATATCCATCATTTTCTTGGGGAAAGGAATAGTCTTTCTTTTGATCCTGATTTAGAGTTTGGAAAGATTTAGGGCTCGTTTAGATGAATTTTTTTTTTCTTCAAAATCTGTTTTTTTTTTTTCAAGAAAAAAAGCACTTTTTATTTTTAGTTTGTTTGGATGTCTGCTTTTAAAAAAAGCAGAAGTCAAAAAAAAAGTCAAAAATTTACTTTTTTCAAAAGCTAAAAATTTTAACTTTCAAAAAAAACAGAAATCAAAAGTCAAATTTTTTTTTTCAAAAAACTAAATATTTTATAAAAATATAAATAACTTTAACTTAAAAAACACTTCTAAAATAAGAAAGAGATAAAAATTACTTTTTTTGAAAAATCCAAACAAACGGGCTCTTGGCTGGATCACTATGCCCAAAAGCAACTCTTTCTACTTAAGTCTTAGGATAGTAAGCATCATTATTAGATCTGACTTTGATCCTAAGTCTTAGGACGTGCATAATAAAAATTTTATTCTGTTATTTTTTTTTGAAAATATTTTTTAAATACCCAAAGAGAAAGAACTATTTAATAAATAATATGTATTTAATATTGATAACACAATGAATAATGTCACAGGAGCGAAGAAAAAGAGGAAAAAAAATTTATTTCTGTCAATTTATGTTACGGGAAAACTCTGAAACAAAAAAATAAACTGAACTTATCAAATATTATTTTTAACCATTTCTGTTTCCCAACACACACACACACAAAATAAAATAAAATTGTTTTTGAAAATGATATCATGCACAACCAATAATTCCCCTTCTAACAGCTACATTTAGCCATATCATGCTTTTACGAGAATTGAACATCTATTCGGATATGACTTCAACCCACCAGGCCTTACAAAGGTAACATCTAGGACTACAACCAACGACCAGTGTGCGCCTTTTTGGGAATTAGACGGTAACCTTGGTTATGATACTATTGTCTTATTTGCATTTCAGGGGAAAAAAAACATTCAATTTCCTGTCGTACTCATTTCAAACTCAATTTTTGTAAGATTAAAAAATTGTGAACAAAGTTCAAAATCTCATATGATTTTACTTTAATCACTTATTTTTTTATTTTTTTAAGTCACTTACCCCCTATATTTTTTTATCCAATTTTATTCTTAACACGGTTAAAAATTTAACTAATCTATCTATTATACCCTTCTTAGAATAAGATACTATATTTATATGACAAAAAAAATAAAATAAAAGAATAAAAGGAAACTTACAATACTTATAGAAAAGATAATATAAAAAATGAAAATAGAAGGATGACCAAAAAAAAAGAAAAAAAAAATAATATCAAATACGATGAAAACTTATAACAGTAGCAAAAAAGATTAAAAGTAAAAGAAATGAAAATAATATAAAATAAATAAATTGAAGATAAAGGAATAGAAGAAAAAAATAGATTAAGGATAAAAAAAGAGAAAAAAAATAACACTAACTATGTCGGAATTTTTTTTTAAAAAAAATTCTTTTATTTTTTTTATCTTATTTTTTGTTCCATTTCTTTTAACAAAGATGAAAAGACTAAAGGTGGAAAAAAAAAATATAAAAAAAAAAAGATGAAACATATCTAATTAAAAAAAATAGAAGAAAAAATAAAAACGGATATGTTAAAAGCTTACCTATTTCACTAATATATTTATATCTTATGAAATCGAATTGAATTTTCTATTTCGCAGAAAAGCGCAAGCAAGGTTTGGAACAGTGATCAAAACGTCACTCTTCTCCGACTTTTTTCCCTAAATGTCATGCTAACAGTGTTAATTTTCAATATACCACGTGGGCAAGTTCACTATTCCGGATAGCGAACTTGATTGCAATTAATACACCTGCACATTTTCACCTGTCACGCCACGTGGCAGACATGCAACGAAGTTCGCTGCCTGCCCTAGTGAACTTTGTTCCATGTCTGCCATGTGTCATCATGGCAGGTGAAAACGTGCAGGTGCATTAATTGCAACCAAGTTCGCTACCAGGAGTAGCGAACTTGGTGTCCACCAGAAACGTGACACATCAGCAAACTGAGTTCGCTACAGTGCCCAGCAAACTTGTCCACGTGACATATTGAAAATTAACACTGTTGACGTGGCATTTAGGGGAAAAAGTCGGAGAACAGTGACATTTTGGTCAAGGTTCCAAGCTTTGTGCCTTCTAAATCGGGACAAATTGAAAGTCATACCCCGACCGAAATAGTTGCTATGAATCTTGGATTAACTTTCTTCATTCTAGTGTTTTTTTTTTTTTTTTATAAACCACATGTATCTTCTATGAGAGGTAATTTTATTCGGAATGAGTCTATAATTAAGACTTTAAATCCCTCCTAAAAATGGTATTGAGAAATATTGAACACATTACCTGCTCAACTCTCATACATCAACTGAACTACTATTATTTGATCACTCTAGTGCTTTATGTGCCCCCACGATAGTTGTAAAAAAACAACTTGGGTTTACAAACGAAGATAATTATGTAACATTCAGCAACTAAAAACACTGCTGATTCCAACAATTCGCACGTAGATAACTAAAATACTCAAACGGTTCCATATCTCTAATTGCAAGGTACAATAATGGCTCTTTGACCAATTTAAATTATATTTATAAATTATTTATTAAACTAGGATAGTTCACAAACTAATTTTTCTTGCCATATCACCTAAGGTATAATTCTACTAGTAGTCATGTAAAGTGCCATCAAGAGTTGTGCCTTCCTTTCTTTAAAAAAAAAAAAAGAGTTGTGCCTTCCTCATTTCTTTGCATTTACTGTGATTTTCTTCAATTTTCACCGGCTATTAAACCTCAGGCTCTCACTCAAATAGTAGCTCAATCCCAATAGTGTTTATATATATATATATATATATATATATATATATATATATATATATATATATATATATATAGGGTCAGGATCATTTTACACCAGTGTAAGTTACACTCTCAATCTTGTCCCTTGATCCCACTTATATCTAAGGGTTCAAATTTTTTAGTAATGTGAGCCATTGGATACAAGTGGATCAATAGTCAAGATTGAGTGTAAGACTTCTAATTCTTACACTGGTGTAAGAATTAGAAGTCTTACACTCAATCTTGACTATTGATCCACTTGTATCCAATGGCTCACATTACTAAAAAAATTTGAACCCTTATGGGGCAAGATATTCTTACACTGGTGTAAGAATTAGAAGTCTTACACTCAATCTTGACTATTGATCCACTTGTATCCAATGGCTCACATTACTAAAAAATTTGAACCCTTAGATATAAGTGGGATCAAGGGACAAGATTGAGAGTGTAACTTACACTGGTGTAAAATGATCCTGACCTATATATATATATATATATATATAGGGATAAACATTTCTACAGCAACTTTAGATAAGTTTATCTACAGCTGCCATTTTTAACTATATTCTCCCGAGAGAATATAGTTATAACGTTGAAGTTGCTCTTTTCTCTCTCTCCACGTCAGCAAAAAAGTTCTGAAAAGTAATTGAGGAGAGAGAAAAAAGAGCAACTTTAACGTTATAACTATATTCTCCCGGGAGAATATAGTTAAAAATGACAGCTGTAGATAAGCTTATCTAAAGTTGCTGTAGAAATACTTTTGCCATATATATATATATATATATATATAATATGGAAATAACACATATCTACTTGAGAGATGCTTGCATTCACCAAAAGAAATTTATCCAACGTTTTCAAACATTATCTACAACTTTATGAAAAATAAAGTAAAAAAAGGAAAAGCAAAAGCAACTATGCTGTATTCTTGTGAACTTAGCATGATAATTAAGATGTAACTCTAATATAGCCACATGGGTAACCTCAATGACCCATTTATACGTATATATATAGAGCACAAGTGAAGCTCCTTTGCAACAATGACCACATCCCTCTAGGAAAGTGATATCACATTTTTAGCCACTTTGGTTTAACCAACTTTTTCTCAGCAGGTTTACGCTCTTCGACAGAAGGGGGTTGTGTTGCCTCAACAGGCTCTGGTGCAGACTGAGCAGGCTCAGATTGCTGGCCTTGATCACTAGCAACATCCAAACCCTTCAAAGACAAGATCTCTTCGCATAGGTAAGGACCAACACGGTCAACCACGGTGCTATCACCTAAACACCCCAATAAACAAGAAATGAATATATACCAATTTAGGGATTTAATCAATAGTGAATAACACAGCATTCAAAGGACATTAAGTAAACATTTCTGCAAAAAGTTTCATATGACAGGATGAACTCACCTTTTGAAACATTGTATGAGAAGTACACGATGGCACCAGGACAAAAGCCAGCCCTATAAAAATCCTGAGACATGTCACTGATCAACTTCTTGGGCGGAGTAGTATCTGCATGATTAAAAGTAAATATGATTTGTTTAAGTTCAGATCATACCCAATGCTACTTTCTAGAAGTTAGTAATTTATAATCCTTATCAAGAGATGATTCATCATGAGCTATGCTGAACTGATGGTAAATGAGTTAAGGGTGGTAGTTGAATTGTGCTATATAATATAGGTCAGTATGAACTCTAAGCACTATAGGAAAATATTATTCAAGATTTAGATCATATACAGGATATCAATATGCTTACATATATAAAATGGTTGTTCTGGCTGTGCAATCACTTTAGTCATGAGATCAATTAAACTCTGCATTGTTTCTGATGGGTGGAAGGTAGCCTCCAATGTGTGATTATCAGGGAAGCGAACTCTAATTACAGCCTGCAAACAACCACAAACCAACTCAAAAAATGAAAGTTCATTCCTTACTGATCTGATTTGTTTTATCATTCATGAAAAATTTATGAACTGTGAAAAAAATGATATCCAATATTGGACTATGACAAAAATTTAAAGAATAACCACATTTTTTTAGAAATAATAATAAAAAGAAGAAGCTACACATTACCTTGGTTATTCTGGACCTACGTGATGCCTCTTCTGCTTCCCGGATTTTTCGAGTCTTCAAGAATTTATCTGAACATATTCAATACATTTAAATTTCAATATTATGAAGGGGATATTTTGTGTATGCATCCTTAACAAGTATTTAATTATCTTTAATATCTCCCTTTCAATTACTATTATCACCCATCAATTCGAAACAAAAGCAATGCATATGCATAATTGCAGTAAGAAAACCAAAAAATGGGAGAAGATAATATGTTAGGTAGTCCTTGGCAATATAAACAGCACACAGTAAGATAATATGTCGGCTTTTGTGTTCACCAATCCATTTTTGATAAGGGAAATGAGCACAGGATATTTGGTGATAACTGCCATGAGACGCCATAAACATTTGAAAGGGATAATAAGATAAGTATTTATGGGCATTATTACAATGCAAAGTACAAATAGGAACATCAAATTGTATTTTTGTTTCATGATCAAACTACTGAAAGATAGAAAACTACTTAGACCTATTCTTCATTTTAAACAACCCAGTACAATTTGAGTAATTATCAATAAAAGTGACAATATATTGACCCCAAAGTGCACAGAGTATATTAGGACCCTAAACATCAGAATAAATCAAAGTAAATGCATGAATGCTTGTAGTGTGGAGAGGGAGATTCAAGAAAAAAAATACATGAATGCTTGTAGTGTGGACTGTCTGAGCTGGCTGCTCAGTATATGTACTAAGACTTTGCATAAAATGTGATACTTCCATGTGAATTGTTGGAATGTAATGAAATATGTATTGGGACTGTTTTGTAATACCTAGCAGTATGTATGGCTGTTATATTTTACAAACCTATGAATGTGTTTCCATTTTGTGAGTTTCAGATATATCCAAGGTTGTACCTTGAGTTATCAATTCTAAAAAGTAGGTGTATCTTGATAATTAGTATATTATACTCCTATAAATCTTGTCATGTTTGGAACTAACTTTAATGGTTGGACAGCCCTTATGTACAAGCTCTTATTATTTTGGTCAAGTAAAAACTAGAATACAAAGGTCTTATGATACTTGAATCTATAGTATGGCTTATGTGTAATTAAATGATGTCAAATAACGAATTTTACACTCTTAAACAGATTTCATGTTATAGCTTAGACTTGGAATTTTGAATGACTATGATTCAACTAAAGCAAAAGTTTCATATCTAGAAAAAATTTAGTGATAATAGGAGCTGTCCTAGGTGATTAAATAGCATTATGAAAGACGTTTAGAAAGGCTAAAACAATTGGAATTGTTATAATGTTTGAACAACTTGAATTGAAATTGTGTTGTGTTCAAGGTTATATGCTTGAATTAAACGCTCAAATCATATAAATCTAAAATATCGCTGACATGCTGCTGAGAGTGTCAGCATGTAGGCGACATCCAAGAGCCTTGTCCTTGAGCATGACGGCATGTAGGGAGGAATCTCAACCTGGACTTCGGGATCTAGAAAATTTGGAGGAGAAGTTGCGTTTGAAGATGTTACCGACCAGAAGCACATCAGACGGAAGCAAATGATGGCTGAATAGAGGCACCAAGTAGCCGAAAGGTTGACATTGCAGTGGGGACTGGAAGCCAGACATGAAACACAGTTTACAGAAAAAAATTCATCGATGGGCAGTGGGTTCACCAAGCACGCATGGATTAGGGGTCACCTCTAATCAAGCTCTAGATACCATGTTAAGGTAAGAGAAAGGGAGAGACATATGATGAAATCCGTGTGTCTAAACTCTATAGAAGAGGCTGACTTGTATAGACAAAAAGTAAGAAATACAAAAATCATTGATGTCCTAACTCCTAATAGCCGTACTTACATGATATGATTAGTCTATTCAATTAATCTAGATACTATTTAAATACTTTCCAACAGTTCACATCAGTGCAAATGCGTAGCTTACATGACGTTTTATTTTATTCAAGTCATTGTTCATTTAGAAAATTTGGCATATCCCTTGGATGAAACAGGACATGAAAATTAGGACACAATTTGGTTTCAATAAAGTCTCACTTCTTCTCTCACATGGGATAATTAGTATCATCATTACCTTCCTTTTTAGTAGCCAAAATTCGGTAATAATCTTCAGCAGTAAACTCATAGAAGTCATCAGTCTCGTCTCCTTTCAAATAACAAGAAGAAATGTAAGTTTAATCAGGATACTTAGAAAAATTATACATACAAATATCAATAATTGAAATTGTACAAGTTAACCTTTCCTAGGGCCTTGGGATTGTCAAAGATAAGATGGTATTACCGTTGGATGATGCATCATTTGAAGATGGACAAAGTGTTGATGTTTCAAAAACATGGATCTCTCGTCCAAATCTTTCTTTGATAGCTGCAAGCTTGGCCTGGTTCCATAAAATATAATGGTAAAAGAAACATCATTGAAATAAATAGTTCATTAAAAAGCAAGGGAAGTAAACTGGAACCATGAAAAGTTGGCCGCAATACAAATAAATAAATTAAACATACATATGCATTGGAGCAATATCCATGATGCCTATCAATCATTTCAAAGGACAGGGGAGAAGGACTTTCTCATCATTGTTTCAATTTAATAATGTAAATTATGATAAACAATAATACATGGTCTAAATTCAAGAGGAAAGATAGAAATCACCAAGTATTTCTACCAGTAACAAGTTTCATATTGTAGGCTATCTACAAAGTAAATTTGAGTACACAATGCCACTTATAGATATCACTTGAAAAGAGCCAGTTTGGATTTCACTATTTAAGCATGAATCAAATTGCGGATGATATAGTCACAGCTGATAAATCAAGAGAAGTAAATTCTGGACTTAGTTGTGGGTATGGGGAGAGCTCTGAAATTAAATGGTTTCTGTTTATGTAGGAGTAAGAAAGATTATATAAAATGCATATTCAGTAAAACAAGAGTTTACAATGTTTTGGAGGTAAAAACAGGAGATCACATCACACCGCAAGTTGCACAGCTTAGGTATCTTGTAACCATATTACAGAGTGACGGGAAGATTGATGAATATGTCAGACATAGGATCAATAGGGGTAGAGAAAGATCCTTCAAGAAAAGTTGATCAAATGCAAGATAGTCTCATGAAAGGTGTATAAAAAAAACTAAAGAAAACCCTATGAAAAACCTTTAAAAAAAGACCTTGATCTAAATGGCTTTACTCAAATTTTGGTTTTTTATAGAGCCCAATGAAAAGTTGACAGAACCATATAGCAAACCCTATCTAGTAGCACTGTTACTATTGTTAATGGGCATAAAACATCAAAGAATGTTTAAATTGCAGAGTCTAACTGGCTATATAACCTTCAGAACACCTTTACTTGCAGTACTATTGTTTTTTGCATCATTTAAATTTGAATCCCTTTCGATAGGGTTACACCGTTAGTACATATCAATACCAATTCAAAAAACCACAAAATTCTTTGCTTGCCAAGCAAAGAAATAATTAAAAAAAAAGAAAAAAGAAAAACTTGTAACGAACCCACAAAGGGAATCTTGAAATAATCAACAGATAAAGCACAGAAATGAAAATATAAACCAAACCCAGATCGAAACACCAAAAACAAAAACCAAAAAAATAAATAAAAAAAGATAGAGATCGCTGAAAAAGAAAATTAAAAAAAAAATAGAAAGAGAAGAAGAATAAGAATTGGTGTGTACCTTAGCAGCTTCAGTGTTGGTGTCCATGGAATAAATGTTGGTGACTCTTCTCCTCTTCGAAGTTAGTGGGGAGGAACCACCTAAGATCATCAGAAGAGAATACGCAATACAGTGAAGTGAGGAGAGATATGAAACCCACTTTTTCTTTTCTTTTCTTTTTTCACAGCGTAAGATCAAATGATTTTTTATTTAAATAATCCTATCTTTATCTGCAAGAAAGGGTTGCACGTGACATAGCAGGTGCAAATTTGTTTCTCTTGAGGTGAAGTACATATAAATGACACTAGGATAAAAAGAGTAAATATCTTTTTTTGTCTCTGGAAATTTTCACGAGGCACAATTTAGTCCCTAGGTAAAAAAAAGTCATATTTCAGCGTCTAATTTTTGAAAAAAAAGGACACGTTTGTCCTTATGTTACATGGAACGTGACGACTCACTTGACGGAGGCCAACTGGAACTTAAGTGGCTGAGTCACTAACGTCACAGTCACGTGGAGAGAAAGGAACGACGTCGTATTTGATTCGAAGGCTGTTTCAGGTGAGTAGAAGGGGACGACGTCGTTTGATGAAGAGAGTCTTGTTGATCCTTTGTTGTTGACTCAGTGAACACAATCAGACAACAAGTAGTGATTACCATACCCGTCATTTCCTCTGCTCGTGAGCTTCTTTTTCGGTGAAGGTTGGTAACCTACGGTGCTTTGTTGGTGTACGTGTCTTCCCCAATTGCAAGCATTTAGTGTGAAGATCCTTAAAACAACGATTGTGAGTGTGGTGACTTTCGTGCAAGGTACGTGAGAGAAACCCTTTCTTTATTATCTGTTGTCCCCCTTTCCTTTTTGGTCATTGTTTTTTTGCTTAATGCGGTCCCCCATGTGCGGTTTAGGGCAAGAGATGGTTAGGGTTTTTTTTATGTGGTCCCCTTTGGTAGAATATTTTAGGAACTTGTTGCATGTGGTACCCCTGTTGTTATTTTAAGTTGCTATGTGTAGTGATTACAAAAACTCCCAATTTTTTAGCAATGCAGGCATTTAAAATAACCGTGACTGTTACAGTATTATAGTAATATTGATAATAATTGATTGGTTGTATGATACTGTAAAATAATATTAAGGTAGGGTAAAAAATTATTATGTTCTGTTTTATATGCAGATAGATTATAGTCATGAGATATCATCATGGGGGTGTGTTGGTTAGGAATGATAAAGGGAAGCTGAATTATGTGAATGGGAGAGTGGATGATTTACCAGAAATGGATGTAGACTACGTAAACCTTTGTGACCTTGAAGCTCTGTTCAAGGGGTATGGTTACCACAAATGTAGGCAGATGTGGTGGTTGAAGCTTGGTGAGAGTGATTTAGAGGTTGGGTTGCATCTTTTAGAAAAGGATTCTGATGTTTTGCAAATGGTCAAGGCTGCCTTAAGTAATGGGAACAAAATAGACATATATTTTGATAGTTGCATTGCAGTTCCTGAGATTTTGGCTGGGCCTACAGATCCAACTCCTCCAGAAAGTGCTGATGAGGAGGGGGTCTTAGGTGATTCAGTTGACAGTTTGTCTGACTTCCATATGACTCATGCTGATGAATATGAAGAGGGGGAGGGCAATGGACTGTCAAGTGATTCATATGACAGTGTAGAAGATGAGCCTTATAAGCCTCCGCCACCGGGTGTTGAAGACGAAACAGATGATGAACTGGATGAAGAGGATGAGCCAATAATTGCATTGAAAAAGAAGGTGAAAGGAAAGAAGGAAAAAAAGACAGTTAACAAGAGTGACAGGGAAGAAAAGGATTCAGAGGATGAGCAGAATATGTCCTTTGAAGATCAGGGCTATGGTTACAATTCTGAAGAATTGAAGACTCCTCCTTCAAGTGGGGATGAGGTTGAGAGGGAAGTGTTTCCCAAGTTTAATGAGGAGCAGGCCTTTGGTCAAGTACAGCTTGAGCTTGGAATGGAGTTTGGCAGCTTGGAGCACTTTAAACAGGGTGTCAAAGACTACAATATAAGTCTTGGGAGGCAAATTGTATGGGTTAAGAATGACAAGGTAAGATCAAGGGCCAAGTGCTCAAATGCTGACTGTGAGTGGATGATATATTGTTCTTGGAGTAACAAATTCAATTGTTTCCAAGTCAAGACATTCAATGACAACCACACCTGCTGCAGAATTTTCAAAAATAAAAGGGCCACCAGGGATTGGGTTGCTGCAAAGTTGGAGAAAAGGCTGGTCACACAGCCCAATATGACAAGAGCCGAGGCTTATGAGCATTTAAAGGAAGAGTACAAGGTCCATGTTCATCTGAAGAAATTAGGGAAGGCACTACACAAAGCCAAGAAAAGAATAGAAGGAAATGAGAAGGAACAGTATGGCAAGCTAAGGGACTACCTGGCTGAGCTTCTGAGGAGCAACCCTGGCTCCACTTGCCAGATGCAAGTAATTCCACAACCAGTCCCTAACAGCCCACCATTTTTTTCTAAACTGTATATATGCCTTGATGCCTATAAGAAAGGATTCAAAGCTGGGTGTAGGCCATTGATTGGCCTGGATGGATGTTTCTTAAAAGGTTATTGTGGGGGACAACTCTTGAGTGCAGTGGGAGAGGATGCAAACAAGAGTCTTTATGTCATTGCTTTTGCAGTTGTTGATAATGAGACAAAAGAAAATTGGAAGTGGTTTCTGACCTTGTTACAAGAGGACGTTGGCAGCCATGTAGTTCATGGATGGAACTTCATTTCGGATCAGCAAAAGGTTTGTCTATTTCAAATTTATTTTCTTTTAATTTCATTTTGTATTGAATTTTCATTGCTGGCCAAGTGTAATTACTTTTGTTGTTGCTGAATCTATGAATGCAGGGATTGATACCAGCATTACAGGAGGTCATGCCAAGTGCCCATCACAGGTTTTGTGTGCAGCACGTGTGGAAGAATTTCATTAAGCAATGGAAGGATAAAGCCATTAGGGGAATAGTATGGGAGGCTGCACGATTCACAACTGTGCCCCAATTCCAAAGAACAATGCAGAAATTGAAAGAGTTGAATGAAGATGCTTGGGCATACCTCAACAAGATTGACCCCTCATGCTGGGTGAAAGCCTATTTTAGTCACTGGCCCAAGTGTGACAACATAACCAACAACATGGCTGAGGTGTGGAATGCAAAAATTGTTGGATACAGGTCCAAGCTCATTGTCAGCCTATGTAAAGAACTTAGATGCTATATAATGAGGAGGATGGCTGCCCATCAAAGAATTCTTGGTACAGTTAGGGGTAAAATTGCCCCAGCACAACAGAAGAAGCTGGATCAATTGAAGGTGTTAAGCAACTCCTGGACACCAACTTGGACAGGGAACTTGGAGCAAGATTTATACGAAGTGACTAGGAAAGGTGAAAGGGTTGGAGTCAATCTAACCTACAAGACTTGTGCATGTAATATGTGGCAGCTCACTGGATTGCCATGTGAGCATGCAATTGCTGCAATATGTTACAAGAATGAACCAGCAGAGCTTTATGTCCATCAATGGCTGACAGTGGATGCTTTGCATGCCACTTATGCACATACCTTGAACCCTGTCAATTCTGACCAGTATTGGTCTGCATCATCTGAGCCTAAACCCATTCCTCCACCACTGAAAAGGCCAATTGGCCGTTCCAAAAAGCATAGGAAGAAGGATCAAACTGAGGAGCATGAGAGCCAAACCAAAAAATTAAAGAGGACACGTGCTGCAAAGTGTGCTAAATGTGGGAAGTCTGGTCACTATGCCAAGACCTGTAAGGTACCAGCTGCAAGCAAGAGAGAGAGGAGAGCAGCAGCACCTTCACATGCAGTTAATGTCAACATAACAGCAACACATGAAGAGGAGATCCCTCTGAGTCAAGGAGAACCTTCAAGGCAGTCCCAGGCAGCTGAGGAAGCCATTAGGGTCAACAACCCACCACCTACTGCCCCACCACCAGCAGAACAATTGTCAACTGAAACTCTCAATGCAACAAGCAGTGGCACAAGGAGCAGGCTTATGGCATTCATGGCCACACCTGGGTTTAAGCCACCAAGACAAGCTCGAATCAACATGATCAGTTTTTTGTATAGGGGTTCAGTTTTTGTTATATAGGCAACAATGGTCCTTAGTACCCAATTTTTTGAATTGTATGAACTGTCAGCTGTACCCCCATTATTTTTTTGTATTTAAGGCCTTTAGGTGAACTACTTGCTTTTTTTGAATCACAATATGTCTCTGAATGGGTGTATTTTGAAGCAAAATAGGCCAATGGGGGAATAGTTTGAAGGATGTTTTAGAATGGTTTATGAGGACTACAAGTTCTCTTTTTGGCAGTCCTGTAATTTTAGAATGTAAATGACTACAAGTTCCTCCTTCAATGACTACAAGTTCCTCCTTCACTGACTACAAGTTCCTTTTTTTATATCATTTGTTCCCTTTGTAGCAATTTGTCTCTGTATGGTGCTTTTTGAATCTCTATATGAGACTTTTTGATTCTTAGCTATGTGTAGTAAATGTTTGGGGTTGGTATTACTGCATTATGTTTGTGCACTGTCAAATTTTTTACTTTAATTTCACTTCAGGTCATGTTTGCTGCATTGGGAATTTGGTTCTCAAATTTTTTACTGCATTTTTGACTACAAGTTTCTTTGTTGAATTCAGTTATGTACTGTCATTTGCTGCAATCTATCATATGCTGCAATCCAATGTGTCATGGGTATTCAATGCAACTTGGTCCTACTGAGAATTTTAAATGTTTGTGTTACTGGCAATACCCTTTTTTGCTCTAAACAGCTCATGGCCATTTTGTAACGTTAGGGACCAAATTGGCCCTCGATACAAATTGTCAAGGACCAAATTGGGGTTTAGATTTCATCCTTAGGTACCAATGTCCACTCCTCAAATTCCCATTTGAAACAAACATTTTGACTGGATATTTCACTACATCCAACTGTCATTTATCTGTAATGTCCATGTACCACCACATAACATCAGTCCACCCTCACTATGCAGAAAAAAATTATTATGCCCCATCATGAGAGTGGGATCATAACAGGAATAAACTTCATATGATGTATGGGAATGGGCTGTATTACTCCATAACTTTGTTCAATTGCTATTGACATATACTGTATTATATCATGAAGTTACCAGTATACACA